CCGAAGTTTGCACACGGCACGTGTGCATCGGAACTTCAGTGATGTCGACGACGTCGGCGTCGACTTCGATGGCTGTCCGCAGTGGTGGTGGCGAGCAACCAACGGGGTTCTAACATGGAAGACTCATCAACGAACAACCAACGAACACATCAACTTCCTACATCTTTTTTATATACATTTTTCCAAACGTTAATATAGAAAATCTCAACGAGGTTTGATAATAAATCAAAAACGAGAAAAACAATATCAATGTGTACGGTGAACCGAGATTTAAATATATAAATATTTTTTATGTTTCCTCAGTGGTATATAAAAAAGATATTAAATTATTCAATATTTGTTATAACGATCAATGATGAATTTATCGATGGAGGTATATTCAAACAAAATCGTTAATGTTAATTTAACGATTGAAAGTGAAAACTTAAGAGTAGTCTAATTAACAGAAATGAAAAATGCAAAATACATAGAGTCTTGTTATTAGAACTGCTTATCACTCGGTAAGAATTAATACAACGATTAATTAATTTGTTGATTTGTACATAGATTCATCTTATAGTGAAGATTAATTGATTCTAATCTTAAGTAACTCAACTTTGTTGACACCGACTGAACTCTTGATATGCATTAGAGTAAATACATCACTACAACTATATATGTTTTAACTACGCTTTCAGTTGGCAGAGAGTTATTCTCAAAGCTATTGACCGTTACCTTCGCTAACTAAAATATATCCTCACACAAAATACAGGTAGATAAATACACTAATTGTCGTTGTTATGAATTTTTAAATTCTTAGAAACAAACAAATAAACAAACAAACAAATATGATCGTTTATAAATCATACCGAATATCTTAAAAATAAATTGATATTACATTAAGAGTTTCTTCGTCCTACGTAATTTCTACATATTTCTAACGACGACGACACATCATCGATCGGCTCAATGCAATATCCCTTTACATACTTACACAAACACATATACATATACTTTAATAGGTAAACTATCTGGCAATCATCGTATCAAGGATTATAGATGTAACGGATTAGTTTAACATAAGTTCGTCTTTCTTAACGCAAAATTTTGGCAATGTTCGTAGAAATATTAAATTCGGTACATCGAGTAAGAGGGATATTTCAGCATTTACCTTGAAAAATATTCGTCATCGCTAAGCTCATGGATGCATGAAAATCTGGGCTTCTTGCCTAATTCTTGCTTGTATTTCTGTTATCAAATTACATGTCATGATCGAGTAGGATCCATTTAATTTATCGACGAATCTCGATACTCGTGTTAAGTATTCTTGTTAGCTTAAAGAGAAGAAGATGTAGAAAATTCCGCTAAGGTAGAACACAGAGTGCATCAATTCTGGTAAGTTGCTTGAACTTGTATCGAAAACAAATAAAAAAAATTTCATTCTTTAGAAACACAAACAACGATCATGTAATAATAATATTCAGTGTGTAAGCGTTACGACTTAAGCTAACTTTGGATTCGAGTTATGAAAGATATTTTTGAATCGTATTATTTGAATTATATTAGTTCATACACGTGCACATCGGTCCTATAATCTAACACATCTTCAAATTTCTAAATTCTAATCTTCAAATAGAGTAACTCGTTGCTTTCGAACGCGTTTTGTTTGTGACCTAAAAGTGATTTATCGGTATATTTACACTCTCCAAATTTTATGCACTTCTCCTCATCTTATATTATGTTAAATTCGTATTATTTATTTCATTAAGATACTAATATCGAACTACTACAATTTGTCTTTATAGTTGATCTATTTTAAGTTTAGATCGAACCGAGTAGGGAGATAATATTTGAAACGTTCTTATATTTACAGACACACAATTCCAACGAGATTACGTGTCGCACGTAAAACATCGTGTCAATTAAATAATCTCGAATAAAGTTAGGTACAACATGGTTCTTACAAAACAGAAGTAGAAATGTGAAATATATTATCTCGTACAATAAATTATAGTATACATATGTTTCCTCGACGCTAACGACGCTATCGAAATGTAACAAAAAATTTTATTACATTTGATCTCATTTAACTTAGAATCTAATCACAGAAAAGACAGAAGATCCTTATCGATGAGTAAAGAAGTATTCGAGCATAGTAGGAGGATAAATTTCTATGCTGGACAACGGTGCCAATTTTTTTTTCATTAATATCTCAAGGACAAACTCCGTAAGATTCACCTCTATAAATACACGGGTGTTCTTAGCCACGTGAAGAAACAAACCGCATATAAACATTGAAAAAATACAAATTCCGTAATAATTACGTGCGACTTGAAAGTTAAGGTAAAGGCCATTCATTCGGTGTCATAAAGGTTGTTCTTCCTGAAATGTGCAACAAAATATATATGTATATATATATATATTTTATGACAAGTGGAAGTATCATTTGATTTCATATAAAAAGGTGATCGTGAAGAAAGGAAAGGTTTTAATTCAAAAATAAATTCATCAACGTCTTTCTTGGACTATCTATGTAGGTGTCTAAGAAGAAGACATATTACTTAGAATAATATGCATATTCTTGAGTTATACAAACGTATCCTTTTACACTTACGTTACCGTGCACCTGATTCCTGTCCATCGGATCTTCTCCTCGGGCTGAGTCATCGTACGTGTAAGTGTCTCGAGGGCGTCTGCTAAGTCACATGCTAAATTTGGTTAGCTTAGCATTGGGATTGTATTACGCGCGTGGGTTTATCTTAATATTTCGGGAGGCACTGAGTAGCAACTAGGTCATCCTCTTTCTATACTTATATCTGCTTCCCTAAGACGTTTAGTCTTTACTCGTGCATACCAATCTCAAACCTTATATCCTCTAACTACGATATATAACAGTGTACAACAGCGTTCAACAGCATCCAACAGAACGCATAACACCAAAAGAAAATGTTACGGAAATGCAAGTGCGTCGAAGAGGAGGAGTAACGTCCTGCTTGGAATGTCAGATCTTTATTATTATAGCTAGAGCAGGCACGTGTATTACATAAAGCTTATTTTCCGTATCGAAGTACGATATTCTCTCATTCTTCTCCTAAAACAACAATAACAATAACAACAGCACAATCATACTATTATCTCTCTTCTTCTCTCATTCTTATATTCAATATATTTCTACAGGGTGTTCCTAAGGTCTGGACACGTAATCCTGGACATATTTCGACAAAGCCATATTTAATCTGTCGAGGATAAAAAGTTATAGTTAATGAGATTTCTTATCGGTTCAAACTTTGGAGACACCCTGTATTACGTATTAAATATGCTAATATATTTGCAGAATATTAGAACATGCATACTCAAAAATTCTATTACATTAAAGCATATTCTCTTTCACTCTATCCTATTTTCATCCCCTATTTTTCATTTGCGTTATTTTCTACATTATGTTATTTTATTTTGTCGGGTTAAAAATAATCACTTTTTTTTCGTCGTAAAGAATAAATAAAACTTTATTCATGGATACCTTGTTTATATGCTTGCATATATAAAGCATTTCTTCAGCATGCAAAGAAAAAAAATCGTTATGTCGAATTTGCATACCAAAAGCGGATTATACTCTTACAATTCTACTGTAAGAACAAACATAAGAAAAATTCTTTTTTTCGACATATAGTTTTAATGGTCACTGCAATATCTTAAACAGTAATTGATTGAAAACCTATTCTCATTTGTTTTCAAAAGATAAATAACTCAAATATTATCGATACATTGATAAACGTAGGCAAAAGATTTGAAAGCCAAATATTATACATCAAGAGTGATAAATATTTGTATGATCCAGTTGTTAAAAATAAAAATGTTTTCACATTTTTACTGTTACACTTATGAAATATAATAATTAATGTTTCTTAAGATCTCAAGAAATTGAACATATCACAGATATGTAATTCCTGTGTAACAGGTAATATCCAGGCATTGTATAAGAAAATTGTAGTTACGATAAATAATATCAATGAATAATAATAATCTACATATATTTAAATGTATACGTATTACACACGTAAAATCAATAAATGTATGTATGTATGCATGTATCACAAAAATTGTACAATGCAATAATATAATATATTTTTAGTGAGAAATTACACATTATCCATTAATTACGTATGAACAATTTTATGAAATTTTACATTACGCTTTATTCGCCAACAAATAATGACGAGACTGCCTGGATTGACTGGATGAATTCATCTAGACGAGTATCAAAATACTAAAATACATACAATAGAGGCCAAAAAGGAAAATACTTTTTAATTTTGAAAAATCATTCAAGTCTGCTTCTCCGACATTGTTGGACGTTATTATCGATCAAATTTTTTTTTCTATCATATTTAATATCGAAAATTTAATTTAATTTTTARATAATTACTAGTTGAGTAACTTAATTTATAAATTTTACCTATTTAACAGGTATCTTTTAAATACGAACTTTCTAAATTTTATTTTAGCAATCGTTTTCGTTGCGTTTAGTCAATCGGAATATTTATATCAAATGCATTATAACATAATTATTATCAGATTACTAATAATACTTCATCTTCTCAATTTAAATTGTTCAAATAGAAAAAATTAATTTGTACACTGTGTCCAGATATAAATAAAAAAAAAAAAAAATACATTGAATGAAGTAATGAAAATTAATATAGAGCGAACAAATAAATTGGATGTGTTATCACTTCTTCAGAATTATTTTGTACAATTAATCCTTTCGTTAATACGCGATCTATATACAGGTCATCGATGCAAAGACCTTGCCTACCTGTATAGGGGTCGATACCATGCAACGATACGCGAGCATGAATAAATTTATATGGAATGATACTCGCGCCAAAGCATGCCATAACGAATGAAATGTTAAATTAACGCTAATAATGACTCCTTTTTCTTAACGGATACATCATCCGTACGGCACATTATTTCATTGACAAATATAATAAGAAGCACTATCATGATACATACTTTTCTTACATTTGACAAATATTTTTTATTTATTAAAAAGTATTTTTCTTTCTTACCCTATTAGGTAAAAGACAATACCTTAATGACCTTTATCATTGTCTATTTAACATGATGTGTAAACTTGATACGCATGTACATAAAAGTACTATATATAATTATTTACCTTACACCTTAATTGGGACATGAAATATTTGCATTTGTTATTTTTTATTTATTTTCTTTTGTTTTTTTTTTATGGTTTAACATTAGAGTCTAAATCTGAGTGGTGCAAAAAGCCAGCATATTTAATTCTAACGCTTATTTTTCTATTTCCACATACTTTTGCATTTTTAACATTTTGAACTTTATTATCAATGAAATAATAATTCTTCTTATTGTAAGATATTATCATCAAAACCATTAAGATTCAGACTCTATTCTGTATTATTATAAGATTAAAAAAAAATAACTGCGCGGTTCTCATGTATATATATAAACAAAGCATCAACAGCTTACTGTTACTTTTTTTTTTATATTATGTCTTTTATAATCATCTCGCTATGGAACTGATTTTATCATTACGATAATTCAAATCTGTTCATCTTCAACTTCACTCAGTAGAAGATTTTACGCGTCTACGATGATGATTTCGTGCTAATGCATGAATAATTGTCACTAGGAAATAGCACACCATCAATATTACAAATTTATCAAAAAGCCAAGAAATCGTTGTTGCTCCATCCTAAAAAAAATATATAACATTGATTTATATGTTAATTTAATTAATAATATGTATAATATAAAAAATAATTTAAAGATTTTGTTAGATAAACTAACCATTGACTTTTTATTATGTAATTTCTGTTTTTGTTCAATAAGGTACTTCTTAAGTGGTTCTTGAAAATGCGAACCAACAAAGGGCACGATAGCCAATAGGCTAATAAATTTATCTAAAAGCTCTTCATTAAAAGCTATAATTACTGCTAGTTGTTGTATGTGCATCTTAATAACTGCCTTTCCTATAAGTGTTGCACCAAAAAATGTCCAAAATGGAATGAGATAATGTCCGCAAGTCAAGCCGGCAAGATCAAATAATGGATTAGGAATCTATTAAAAATAAAAATAAAAGAATATTTTAATCTAGATCTCATTAGATAAATAGAAATAATTTGAAGAAAATATAAGATTAAATAATCATACCGATGCACAAGCCAAAATGCCCCAGAAACCAGCCTTTTGAACAAAATGTTTCATAGTTAATTTTAAACGCATTATCAATGGCACGTCTTCACCATTTTCCAATGCCTCCAAGGCTTCCAATTCCTTCAAATCATCTTGGGCAGCTTCGTCATTTTTATTAGTTTGTCGACTAGTTCTCGCAGCTCTAGCCATAAAATACGGTGGCAATTCACCAAGAGCAGTACCAGCACCCCAGAACATAGCCTCTACCCGTACTTTCCTCATAATATTTAATATACCCGCTGTCCATAATGGATCAATTGTCGTTGGACAAACTATCTGATCTGGGTATGGTGGTTCCGGAAAATTTAAAGATCCACACTCATATGCTGCCATTGTAACAGCTGCTATATGAGGTCCCAAATAAAGCACAAAAGTATGTAAACCAGTACCAAGGCCTACGCTAGACAATACACCTAAACCAACCCAGTATGACCACCATATAAGTTTTGCTTCCCATGATCGAAACGTCTATAAAATAAATAACATTTCTCGTATTACAAATAAATTGCTAATGAAATGTTTGATAAAAAGAAAAAACTTACTTCTTGCTGCGGTCCAGAAATTCTACTTAATAACAAAAATAATGCTACAAGTGAAATTGTACTCCATACAGTTCGCTTATACCGTAACGTTTTCTTCCCTAAAGATAATATATTGAGTAACAGTTCTCGAAAGAAATAGTTTAACGTAGTAATTGGATGTTGCCATAATGTTAAATGATCAGCATCTGTACACACTTCATTATGCTGTACAGAATGTGATTCTTGATGCGTTACTGTGGATGATATTTTTTCATTGCCAGTCCACTGTGCTCCGTTAACGGACGCAGAATTTTTAGCACGTTGAACAGCTGTCGTACTTTCAACCATCTTTTCTAGTTGAATCTAAAAATAAAATAAAATAAGTATAAAAAGAAGAACAAATCTCAAACGATATATAAAAATATACAATAACACATAAATTTGAAAACATTACAAGTCTTGAGTTTTTATATTAGATGAATAAAGCTAAACACTTATATATTTATAAAAAGAAAAAACAAAATACATTGATATGGCGTATATTAAAACTCGATAGTTTAAACTTCTATTACACTTTAGAAGCTCTAGTTCTAGCTCGCAAGAAAATATACTATAAACTGAACTGTACACTAAATGTCAAGAATATAATACAATACACAGTTGAGTATTACTTTAGTGCTACTAGCTTCTATACCCCTTGTCCCAAAGCGACTGTTTCTTAATTATTTAAACGATAAATTCAATGCAAGGTCGAATGACCGTTACTCAATGGTTCATTGACAGTAGAAATTGAAAATGATTGTACTTCTTTGTAATTTTCGATACTCATGTCGATAGCCACGTAATCTTTAAAATGACTGTCTCCATGAGAACCAGTCATATTACTATAATATTAAAGTAAACAACAAATAGTAAACTAAAAATAAGAATCGAATGAACGTATCAATCTAGTTAACTAATGCCACCGAACCACGTACATAAATACTAATATCATTATCTTCAATACAACACATGAATGATTTTTCAGATCAAAGGTCGCGTATATGTATATTAGATATGATTCAAATAGCTCTTTGTTAAAAATCGAGGCTAAAGCAAATAAATAATTTTATTCTTTTACTACGTTCGCAATTTATTGTTTCTTTTTATAAATTGTTTATATAGACGGCACGTCACGTTTTTCTAATAAACGTTCAATTGAAAATTTGTTGAAGATATATTTATTTTATAAGGTTGTAAAACAAAAATATAAACTTCCTTTAAATGATTTGATGCGTCAGTTGAATTGCGGAAATGATAAATTTTTAATAAAAATACTTTATCGTTTTAAATGGATCAATTGACTTGGTTCAAAATAATTTCAAGCATTACATTGCAAATTTCTTCGTTTTAATTACTCGTGACACAAAAAAAAGGAAAGTAAGCATATATGCGTTTATTGTTATGCAATTGTTCAATTATTTAAACTTAGTAAAGTAATTTTTATAACGAAAGTTTATCGAATTTTTATTATTTGACGTGTTTATCTATAGAAAAAAAATATATAAGTAAAATAAAAAAAGAAACTCAGGATATATAATATATAAATATGAGAAAAAACATGTTTAAAAATAACGCGAAAAAAACGATAAATACTTTAACGAAGAACCGATGAACATTATTTTTTAATTAGCCTCTATAATCGTACTATATTTAAAATATATATCGGGTATTTAAAATATACTATCTACAAACAATTATCTTGAAAACGTGGTATGAATACAATTGTTCAAACAAAAATTATCCAACTTTAACACGTTCACTACTAACTTCTCAATTACAGATTTTAAAATGATAGCAATCTTAATATAAGTTTAACCACAATTACATTTGATATTGTCATCGATAAATCACTAACTGTTCTATTTTTACTTTGATGCAATAAATACGTAGAAACAATTCTTACAAAGTCTAGCATTGACTTACATATCACTAACAGAACTTGATTGATTTTATAAAATAAATTAATGATGATTTTATTAAATGCATTAATCGTTTTTTGTTTGTCTTATTGCTTGACTATTCATTAATTAATAGCATTAATAGCATATTCATTAATAAAAGAGGAAATGAGAAAAAGAAGGAAGATGAAAAGAACAAAGAAATCAACAAAAATATTTATAAAATTAAATACAACTGTTTCAGAATAATAAAAAGAATTCATGAATTTTAAACGTTCAAAAGATTTAAACGGAGACAAAAAAGAACTAGAACAAATCTTTTCTCTCTTCGATATACTGAATTGATAACGCTAAGTGTTAAATAATTGTTTTCCAATCTTTCAAAATCAACTATCTAATCGAAGAGTATTTAAAAATTTCTTTTATTTTAGTCGTATACTTACACAAATGTATACATTCAAAATTAGAGCTCCTTTTTGGAAATACCCTTCGCATTGCCAATTTTTGCCTGTAAGGCAAATAATTAGAATAAAATTCTATTATCTATGAAACAGGTTAGCGTAATAATCTTATATTCATATCTAAATTCTCTCTGAAGTATTTTAGTTATTTCTTTTAAAATAACATTGTTGGTATCAGTTGGCATTATTAAATAATATTAGTTCTATTCAAAGTTTAATAGATTAAGTGCATATACTCAGAAATAATACAGACAATTCAGTTTACTAAATATATTTCAAAAAAATTAATTTATTCTATACTTTTTTTTGTGTTGTTGAAATGTCAATGCATAGATTAAACAATTTATCTATAGATTCAACAAAGAAATGTAAAAATCTTTGTATATTCTTTCTTATCTATATGTAATCGGTTCTTTTTTTGCTTTTTTTTCAAGAGCTTATACTAAGAAACACAAAGACAAAATATTTTATAATTATTCATCTGATAAAACTCAATATGTTTCTTTAAATATACTGTATTAATAATCGAATAAATCTAATGAAATTACCTTAGAATCTGAAAGTATGTACTGCTACTAATATTTGTTGAAGGTTAACAAAAAATCAACGTAACTTGGAACAATATACCATCGTCGTGAGGTACACATTTACAGACAATGCGAGCTATTATATCAGTCACGTTAAATTATCTCAAGATACCATTTTCTAGGTATCCGAAAATATCGTTAAGTCATGTAATAATACAATAATCTAAAATTGTCGATCCAACGACGACCTGTGTATGTATTTTAACAGCGTTATTGAAGGTTTTCTTTAAAAAAATATCTATATTAACTTTTTTTTATGAAATGCTATAATAATTATAGATACACCGTACTGCTCGTTACCGTTTGACGATTATAAACCATGCATGCTTCTTCCATACTACATTTCTTCTTGGAGATTTAATCAAATTTTACTGGATAATACACACCAATTATATTGACACTAACGACTAATATTAAGTATACAATTGGTCGAGAGGCGTCGACATTGTAATTATGACCGATAGCGAATAAACTCGTGGCATATGGCTAAAAATATTTCGACCAATGAAAAACGCTTACAGTTAATCGCATTGTCACATGACGAAGATCTACATCATCTGATTGGCTAAAAATATTTGCATCATGGTGCATGGAGAAAAATAATAAAATTGTATTTTCAATTTAAATCAATAATAATCATTTTCTTTTTAATCTTGTCGATGAATACATTTTATTATTTTTTTCATATATTTCATTGTCATAGTAACGCTATATTACCTTATTATCGTTAATTTATGAATATACAAATTAGCTTATTTATGCACCTATTCAAATTAATGTTAGGCGGGAAATGCCTAAAATTTAAATTAATATATTATTAAAATAACTCGATTGAAAACTTTGATACCCTCATATCAGCAAATTATAAAATGAACTTTGAAAAAATTATATTACTTATGTGAACGATGATTTTTGCCAAAGGTGAGCTTATTTCATCTATACTATAATATACAATTTTGTATAAAAACAGAGTTTTATTCTTTGTAAGCTTATAAGTTAAACATATATAGCAAAATCTTCTATGTAAACGATACATATGATTTTTAAAAATAAAATTTAGTTACATTAACTTGCAACATAACGCACATAAAAATATTAACAATTCCAGTAATTTGTTAACACAATTTTGCTATCGGATAAATTTAATTTGTGACATGTGTTTTTATTTTTTTTTTTTTATCAATTGAACGTGGAATGAAAAGAACATAATATAAAAATTAAAAAATGCTATTATAAGGCTATACGAATATACACATATATATTCGTATATATATTTTTATCGAGAGGAAGCAGAAAATTTCTTTACAAATTAGTACTCATAATTAAAAGAACATTTGATAGAAATATATTATTTCTGGAGTAATTCGTAAGCGTTATGAATAAAATCTAATAATCTAAATTTGTTCAGCATTAAAACTTGAGCCTGCTATGTAAATAATTGATAATAAGACTTAACAAGTATCATTTTATGCGCATAAGATTAATAACTTATATTTATGCGATATTTTATATACTATATATATAATATTTTATATTATAAATATAAGCGTCAATAGTCTGTTAGAGAAGGTAAAAAGGCATACGCAAATGTGGCAGTTTGATCTAACGTGAATATAAATTAGCTTCGCATATGAAAAACCTTAGCCCAACATAAAAGAATACGTGTTTAGAGTTAATCGACATAATCATAAGTCCTTACACAAATATATTACATATGCTTATAACATTTATTGGAGATTATTCTACTACTGACGCAAATTAATTTTGGTAGTAGTAATATTATTATCTTGCGTTTAACTTTTACTCTTTTATACGTAAACATTTAAATATACGTAAACAAATTAATTTGTTCGTACCTTTGATGGAAAAAAAAAGAAAAAAATACTGCTCGTTAATTTTTGTTCTAATGTTTATAACTGTCTTAAGACAATCATTATTTATTTATTAAAATGAAAAATAATAAAATATATTGTTAGGAGTTTGAACAGCGATAATTTTCTTTTTATAATATTGCACTTAAATTCTATTTGAAATATTTTGTAAGAGAAAAATCATAAATAATTTACAGTTCTCTATATGAGTTGTATCTAAAGTACTGTTCATTTAACAGTATTAATGTCTGTTACATTACGATTTGTACTGAGATAATAGGCTTTGACCTAATCTTGAGAATTAAAATCACCATTAGAGCACAAAAAAGATAGTTCTTAAGTATGAAGGATTAAATACATTGTCTTTGTAAATCTCTTGAAAACCGAGCCAGCTCAGTTTTTTTGTTCAGCACTACTATCGATCAGCATAAAATTTGATTAGATCCATTAATTAATATTTTGATGACACTACGTCAAACAATGAACAAATATATTTTCAACATCACAATTTCCAGTTTAAATATAGTAGGTCTGCAATAGGTTTCCTTCTTGTTTGTTTGTTGAGATCTTTCTCATTAACGTTTATAATGTTGAGTGATCGTTAACATTTTATTAATCCATATCTCTCATTTTGTTTTAAAGGATATATAAATGTTTGTAGGTGTACATACAAGACTCATATATATAACACACCTATTTTATTACATAAGTAAATAAAATTAAAATAAAAAAATTTCAACACTAATTCTGTAGCTTTGTTGTTAAGCAATAAAGTAAAGATTATTAATAATACATATTTTAGAACATGTATTCCAAATATAATTTTAAATCAAATTAATATATAATATATATATATATATACGTGGTTTGAATAATTCTACATTTATTGGTTGTAACAATTATTCAAAGATATTCGAATAAATATATCATAAGTAATGCTAAATATATAGAGTCCTATTATATATTATTTAAATATAATTATATGCCACAGGAAAGGTGGTATATCATTAGTATCATGATCCGTACTAACATTAAACATATTTTTTTGCGCAAGGCACTCTGTAAACTCATGAATGCCATATATATCTAAAAACTCTTGTAAAATTCTTCCGATGATATATTATAATGAATAATATTTGAAAAATTCAATAAAGAATGAACAACAAAAATACAAGTTAGAGAAAATCAATATTGTCTATGTATTTAGGATTATGAAACAAGATGAGAGATGAAGATCACACATACTGATCAAAGATGTCAAACTATTTCTGTAGTATCCACAAGTGGTTGATTGGCATTTACAGCATGAGGTATTACGGCAGTGCTGTAAAGTATATACAATATATCAATATAGAATATTAATGTTATTTTAACCGTGTTGAGTCCCTAACAGTGCAACAGCAATGTTCAGAATTTTTATCGAAAAGTGATATGATTTTTCTAAAGTATTCTGGGACTCAAACGGTTAAAAAAGGAATATTCTAAGCATTACAATAATATCATATAAATATATATGCTGGTTTGCTAATGATTTGCTTAGATGATATATAATTATGTTAAATACTATGACAGATCTTATTTAGTTATTTAATAGTAAATAAATTTATCCAAAACTGTATAATTAGTAAAGATATCTTATTACTATATTAAATATAAAATAAAAAATTATATATTATTGTATTTCAAATTCAACATCATCGATGTGACCGTATCACAGATTTTTCTTCTCGATGTTGCAATGATGTTTATTTTCTATGTTAATATTCAATTAAACTATAACTTTATTATATCATATAATAAATGCCACGTCTATTAAATTAAATGCAAAATTTTGTTAATGTATTCTCTGCCTATTTCACACATCTTTTTGGTAATCAAATATTCAAACAATTATTTTTCTCAAATCAAACACAACATATAATTGAACATTACCCTGCACCAAGTGCCAAAATCGTGGCTTCTTCTACCAAATTCATTTGATAAATACTGGACCTGTAGTCAATCAAAATCATGTTACCGTATTTATAGTAATACACATTTTAAATAAATATACTCATGAAATTTTATTTCATATATATTATTCTTATTATATATTGTTTCTATTATTACAATGTAAATTTATTAAAGATTAACAATACTTTTGTATATCGGTAGATTTAAAACATGTGCATTTTGTACAATAATATTATTAAAAAAGCAATAAATGTAAAACAAACATCATGCACAAAAAGAGAAAAGTCCATATGTTATTATAATTAAACTGTATAATATATACAATTTCCCATTGAAAATATTTGTATATGGATTAGTTATAAATTCTGGCTATTATGAATGAACAATGATTATTACAAGAATTAACAGTTAGTTAATTTGAATTAATATTATTCCTTTCGCTTTTTTATATAAGACCATAAATTCATTCAATAATTACTATGTAATTAAATAGTATTTTTATATGATTTAATTAATAATGTGCACTCTAAGCACGTAGACATGTCAACTTTCTATTAAATAAAAAGGTTTCATTTGCAATATAATAATTAATATCCAGTGAGTCTCTTAATATAATAACTTCAAATAACTTTTAAGCTCTTCATTGTACGAAAAAATGTTTCGAACAAAAGTTGCACGATATCTAAGGGGACGTATATTGTATGTCTATTTTTATCCCCTTACTTTTTTATTGAAATATTAAGGTCACCTTTGGTTTTTAGTTGCAATGTTTAATATTTTTATATATAGTATTATACAAAAAGGAACTTAAAATGAATAATTATTAAAATATCTGCAATTTTGTTTAAAATACTTTTTCATACAACGAATAACTTCTGAGTTATTTAAAGTCATGTTAGGAGACTTACTCTGTATATACATATATAAATGAATAATCAGGTAATTCTTTTCTTAAAAAATACATATCAAATGCAACTAAAAATTCTGACTAATCTAACACCTCAATATAAGTATCCATGATCTAGAATACCTGATTGAGACACATAAGGAGGTGCGGAGCCAAGTTCTGTCTCATCACCCCATTGTTGGGTTCCATTTCCCAATAGAGTATGAGTATCTTCATTGTACAGCCGCTCAGGAAAGTTTACCCCATCTCCAAAACTGTAACCCATACCCTATCGTCTACTCTATGTCATCCTATTTTAACCCTAAGTTTACCAGAGTTGGCGTAACTAATTCTTGTCAATTATTACATCTACATTTATTTGTTAATTTGGTTTTTAGTTTGGACGATCACTGATATTTAATATATATGACAAAATCTTTTTTATACACAATAGTTACGCCACTTCTAAAGTTATACGAATATTTTCTTTATGTAAAAACCAGATGCACAATACTTTTAAAGTAAAGAGAATTACGTATCAATGAATTTAATTAAACAATCAACATGAAATACACAATACTATATGATCTACAGAAACATCATGCATTTATACAATAACAAAGAAATTTTCTACATATCTTTGTCTTACTTACTCGAATAAATAAATAAATATTTTATATATATTAGACACTAATACTGAATACTTAAATATCTTTTTCTTAAATATTTAGATATAACACATATTAACATTATTTATCAAATAAATATACATCTATATAAATGCAATACATATTTAAATGATTCTCTATAACACATGCCTATGATGATCTAAGGAAACATCTACCGTTTCCATGCATTCGTTATTTCTACCTCAGTCTTATTAAAACATAATTGCAAAATAATCATTAAATTGAAGCCTATCTAACAATAAGCCATAAAAAATCTAACACAAACAAACAATAAATGTTAGTAGTATTAGCATAATACCACAGACAAGAAAATTAGACACAAGAATTGCGAAATTTATCAAGGGTTTGAGGGACTTTCGCGAGAAATGGTATGTGTATCGCTTGAATGATTAACGAAAATCTTAAATATAATCATTTCTTCTTATAATTTAAGTTATTTATCATAAATGCAAACAAATGCAACCAGGCATATTTGAAAATATTATTTTACACAATGTCATTACTTTGGAACTCTGTTAAATAAAAAAATAAAATAAATAAAAAAAGAAGATATATAACAATCTATCTTGAAGGAACAGAAATCTTCCGCGAGTGTATATAAATAACAAACTTTACGAGTATCATATGAGTTCCACAGTAAAGAATTGAAATAGTTACTACGATTGTATTTGACCTTTCTAAAATGCTGACCTGTTACGAGTACTGCCCATGGAATCATAAGTATTCGTTAAGCCCTGGTGTTGCGAACGTACTGGATAGGTGACACCATTTCCAAGACTAGAACACATCCAATGCATCCAACCCAATTTAACAATAATAATCGTTATTTTTATTTTCAAGAACTACTGAAAATACTGTATTAAAAAAGATTCTATTAAAATATGTGTCTATCATTGAATATGAATAAAAAGAAGATATATGTTCGATGAGGAATATGTACTTTGTTCTTTTTTTTTTTTTTTATTTAGTCATGATACACAGAATGTGTCCTTTGCATAATGTAACCGCTGAAAATGTTACAAGACATATGATGCATTTTTTTCTTCAATAAAATTTAACAACCGAAGTCTAATTTATCTTTCTTTTATACTGTACTATTTTCACAAAATACTCTAGATACATGCAACAGCATGAAATTAATGAAAAACATATATTTAAAATTAAAAAACAAATTCTTTCTAACATAAGGCTAATCTATTCTATCTATTTTTAGTTCTCTGAAATTCATGCAAATATTTTGCTTTATTTATTATTTATTTATATATATCTTAATTATCTATCATTATAGTTTATAGTTTTGTCGACAAAGATTTAATCTTTATCTCAATGAATGAAAACTGGAATTATAAAAAGTTAGATTTAAAAATGAACAATTTATACCTTGGTATTTTACAAAGGCACATAATGCAAAGAAATATCTTCTGTGCATTTTCAATCAAAAATATATATATATATATATTTTTGAACAAAGTCATGCAAATTCTGTGCAATGAATTATTATTTTCGTTTATTATAAAATATAATATTTAAAATGAATTTTTTGCTGTAAAGATTTCTGTGATTCTCTTTCAACTGTAGAAATAAATTTATTATTAATTTGATGGTGCATTAAATGATAATGAAAGAATATATAATAGCAATATGCACAACTACTACTCTAAATTTTACATAATTACATCGATTAAAAATGAATGTTTGCATTGACATTCAATATATGTGAATACAAGTATCTAAATTAAAATTTCATGTACACATAGATTATTATGTTTGTTGTATTATTATTATGCTTGACTTTAATTATATTGTGCAAATGGTTCCTACTAATTTTTATAGAGTAACATTTAATTTAATCATTTATAATATATATATATATATATATTTAAAACGTACTCACCTAGTAAAAACAGGAAGGAACCAGAGCCGTGCATTATCGCCAAATACTTCTTGGAAATTATTGTACTTTCCAAGGCTAAAACCATCTTTATCTTTTCCCGTGAGAAACATAGGAGGCCTGAAGGCTTCTATAAGATGATGAAAATTAATTAATTAATTAGCAATTTGATTGATATATTAAAATACTTCTATTTCATAAATGTTTTTTACCTAATGTCGATCTATTATGTAGCACAAGGTAGCAGTGATAAAAGAAAAGAGAATTCAGGCTCACTGCGAACATTAAAGCAGTAAAAAAGAGGAAGAGCAGGTGAAACCTACCCATACCTTCTAATTCTCCCTATACACAAAATTAAATAATAAAATCAATTTCAAGTAAAATATGTTTAGTTAGTTAGAAACAAAATTAACTTACTTTCCAAAAGCGTATAACATATTGTAAAGATGTTGCCGTTATAAATATACAATAAAGTAGAGCATATGCCAAAAACAACATAAAAAATTTGTAATTGTGGAAGCCTACGCAGTTGTTTACCCATGGGCAATGATGATCCATTTTTAAGACACAAGTGCCACAGACACTACAATGATGTGCTCGATCCGGTTTTATCAAATGACATTTTTCGCAGAATCGTATACCTAGATATATTATATTAAAATAATCAATCTAAGAAAATAAACATAAATTTTACTCTACGTTGTTTGTCCACTACCTCCTTTGATAGTACGATTTGTTACAGGCAAATCTTGGGCAAATCTTTCCAAGATCTGCCTAATTGCTTCATCTGTTTCCGCTTGTTGAAGTTTTTCTATTTCTACTTCTGGTATTTTAAACTACAAAAAATAAAAATTATTATATGTAATATATAATTGATATATATAATATTTTATATTTGTATGCTTACCTTTTCTGGGACAGATACTAAGTCTGTGCATACTGTTTGCCAATAGGACCATAAAAAGAGTAGAAACAATATGTGGAAGAAAAGGAGATAGAACGCTACAAACAAATACAAAATAATTCCATATTGTTATGTATAGAGTTTGGAATATTTGGATTCTTTGAATTAGAATAAAAGTGTACGCACCTTTCTGAACATCATTGTCTACTCTATCTAAAAATGAAATAAATATAAATAGTTAATTATAATGGAAGATCCAAATCTACATAGCTATATTGATAAGTAACATCAAATGTAGAACAGATAGACTAAAACTTGAATCGAATAGTTAATACTGTATCGACAACAGTACAATAACAGTAACAAACAATTAAAACAAACAAATTACATCTATGTGTGTTCGATTAAAAATAATCTATAATACTTACAATAACATAGCTGAACAACGAAGGCATAATAGGACCAAACAACAACTGTTAAAATAAAAAGGACTGGTATCCATTTGAGAACTTTGACACACCACCAACATGATTCACTTTGTTTCCCCATTATATTTATCGAATCGATGATATGCTTATATAGTTTATTAGTGCCTTTGTTCCTTTAGTTGATACATTATTTTTCACACATGTTGGCCGATATATCATTGCAATAAATCTTTAGAAAAAGAAAGAAAATAAAGAAAAAAAAGAAAGAAATAATAAGAAACCTTAAACTTTAAAGTTGACGAAAAACATATAAAACTAATTTATCGAATTGCAAAAATAACACACAATTTGTAATCCATTGCATGTTATCTCTTTCGATTAACTATGGTTATTATTTAATAATACATACGCAGAAATAAATGATAAAGGTTACAAACGCTTGCTTATTTATTTCTGATTATATACACCAAAGTATATAGGAATTAGTTGGTAAGTAACTGCAGTGGAACCAATTTCATGAAAAAGAAAAAAACAAATAGTATAGGATCAATTTTGGACAGGATCTAAAATCTTTTTTGGAATCCAAAATGTATCCTTGAATCATCAGCACTATTCTCTTGTATCTGATATACCATTGGAACAGATTGACAATTTCTGGAATGTTTAAACGTTTCTTCTTTATTTCCTTCTTCTTTAATATCACATTAGTATAAACCCGATTGGATAACAGAATTTAATGGCCGTTTTGATAATCATTCGTGTGATAATATTCCTTGAATTGAATTGGATATGTTAGAAAAACAAAATAATATAACAATAAATATACATCACTGAATACACATTATTCATTTCAATATTGTATTTATAACTTATTGTTAGATATTAGTAATTTTATGATCATTGTTATAAATTATATAATCGATGAAAATATACGAACGAATCTATACAAAATAATTGATACAGGTTTTGCACTTCAAATTCAACTTTTTACAAAATCTAATTCAACCCTTTGGCAAATACAATATCCTTTTTCAAATAAAAGTCAAACCTTTGGCAAGTCAAATTTTGAGCCTTATTTTTTTAAGTAAAGTACATGCGTTTTAATTCATTGAAGAGATGAGATCAGATTTAAAATTAATAGTAGAAGGCCAGTTTTCAATTGAAATGGTAAATTGCAACACATCAATATAAAATTTCATTGCTTTAGAGAATGTGATTGTATTTGTAATAGTAGGTGATTAGAAATTCCAATAATTTAGAATTTTTTAACAATAAATTTGTATTTAATTTGATTTTTTTTTATAAAAGCTTAAGAAATAAATTTTGTCGACAAATTAGATTTGCTAAAGATTGAATTATATTTAAAAAAGTGTGAATTTGATTAGCAAGAAATTGAACGTGAAGCGCAGCAAAACCTGTAATTGCTCTAAGAGATAAAGATTTAATTTAAAAATCATTAGATTATTATTACGCCATCTATGATTACTCCAAGTTTATCTATAGATTACGTGCGTACTTACTTTTACTTATCGCGAATCTTATCTTAAATATAAAAATAGAGTACATGAATGTATTCAAATAATAAACTTCTTAATAATTAATCATTTAGATTTGATTTGTAATATTACATTTAAGTATTTTTTCGAATTACCAAAGAAAATATGGGTTTAAAGTTCGTAAGTAATTTATCTTTTATGTTTCTGGAGAATCCAAGTTTAATCGAGAGATACCAACTTGCTAAAGAAGCTGGTTTCAAGGCTGTCGAAAGTGGTTTTCCATTGGGTTTCTCTTTGGAAGAAGTTGTTAATGCGAAAAACAAAGCTAATATCGAACAAGTCCTTATTAATGTATTTACAGGCACGTTTATAACTAATATTACTAAATATTATTTTAATTATCGCTTTTCTATTTATTTAATTGATCTTTACTTATTTGCTGCTTTGTAGCTAATCATAGTAAAGGCGCGAAATTTCAAAAAAATAATAGCATCGGTAGCGCCTAAAATTTATTAACAATTTCAAAGTTTTTGTTATTCAACTTAGGATTATAATTAATTTTGTTATTAAATCTTGTAACTTCGTAGGTGATACATCGAAAGGCGAATTGGGATTTGCAGCAATACCTGGACAAGAAGAGTTATTTAAAAAAAGTATTGAAACAACTATAAAATATGCGAAAGCATTGAATTGTAAATTGTGAGTAATTGATGATAATAGTAATTTTTTTTAATTTATCAAAATATTGTGTTATTAAAAATATTAATATTATTTTTAAATAGGATACATGTTATGTCTGGAAAAGTAATTAATCCAACTGCAGACAACGATAAAATTTATGAAAAAAATTTGTTGTATGCTGTAGAAAAATTTAAAGAAGAAGGATTGATAGGTGTTATCGAACCGATTAATAGCATTACCGTGCCGAATTATTATATGAATAATTTTTTGAAAGGTAAATTGTTCATTTAATTAATTAGAAAAATATATGAAATTTTAATACATATAGTAATTTCATTCCATGTTCGTCATAGGTTTAAATATTGTTAAAAAGATCAATAGTCCTCATTTAAAATTGCAACTCGACATTTTTCATATGCAACATTGTTGCGGTAATCTTACGTACAATATTGAACAGTTTCTTCCTTTTGTTGGTATGTATTAATACATTTATTATATAAATTTTCTTTATGTAAGATGAAATTATACTTTCATTATTTTAAATTATTTTAGGTCATATTCAAATAGCTCAAGTGCCTCACAGACATGAGCCAGATACCGATGGAGAAATAGATTACAAATACATTCTCTCATTATTAGAAAATAAAGGTTATCAAGGATATATCGGTTTAGAATATTCGCCAAAAGCAAATACTGTCGATGGATTAAGCTGGATAGCAAATTTTGGTTACTCTTTGTAATATTTACAATGTATCTTATATTTTTAGTATATAATAATCTTAAAAAATATATATAATATAATATAAATTATATTATAATAAAATGTTACAATTATTTTGGTCATTTTTAATGATATTTATAATGTTTGCCTTCTTCCTTTTTTAACCATAGAAATTTGCTTCGGTAGAGGTAGTTTCAAAGTGTATGAATTCTTATCATTTTTACAAGGGACCATTCCAACTATTCTTGAAAGATTAGATAATTTCTTTATTCCTATTCTACTTTGTAACATAGTTGCAAGTAATTCTATATTTATTACGTAATTGGAAATTATTAGACCTAAGATTAAACAATGTATAATAGCTTTATCTTTCATACTAGCTGGTCTCAATCTACAAAAAAATTTTTATCAATAATTCAATTGTTTATAAAATATAATAATAAGAATAGAAACATAAATGATTTACCTTCCACCATTACTTTGTATGCTATAAGTATCGATAATATGTGAATTAATTTCTTCAGATTCAGGGCAAATAGAAGCTCCACGTTTCTTCACATCTTTTATAGGAATATTTAACCATTTGGAAACTGCATCCATATATAATAGAATAGAAACTTTCTTGATGTAATCTGGGTCTGATTTTAAAGATCTAATGATATACATGAAATACTTGGATTTGCTATAAATATAATAAAATAATATTAGTAAATTATTAGACATTAAAATCTATTATACAGATAAATATGAAATTACCCTGTGGGGACACACTGGATGATTTTGTTAGATGCTTCATTAAGAGTTTCTAATATATTTTCTGGCACAATGTCATTCAAATTATAAACATCTTCGACATTGCAAGCATCTCTGTTACAAGGAGGTATATGTATGTCGGTTATAATCTCATCTGTTGTTGGGGTTTTTAAATCTTCTTTATCTATTTTGATGTCTATGATAAAAACAAATCATTGTATTAATAATTTTCTTTTCTATCCAATATGATACTTAAATAAAAAAGATATAATATTAATCATTTTACTTGCGACAGTTTTTTCAAGATCATCTTTAACAGCGTCAACATTAACTTTCATTTTTTCGTATTGCTCGGTTTTTCTCTTAGCTTTTTTAGAACCAAATTTTTTATTCAATAATACCATTTTCTCATCGCTTGTATGTTTATCGTTATCTAACACTTGTTTATCAAGAACAGCATTTACAGACCACCTTTCTGCTTCGACCAATCTAACTTTTCCAGTTCTTTTATTATGAAGTAAAAGCATTGTGTTCATAAGTTGCTGTTTATCATCTGGTTTATATCCTTTATATACCATTTGTCTACAGGATACAGCCAATAACTTTTTATCTTTTTGTTTATCATGGAATAATCCACAAGATATATTCTCAGTCTCTTCATCCGCCAGCTGACCATTTTGAAACTGAACTGATACACAAAAAATATAAAAACACTTCAGAAAATGATTATTGGAAGGGATAGTAATTAATAATTACTTAACAATTTATATGATAAAATGTATTTATAAATATTTTATCAAATTTGTTTTATATTTACCGATTATAGGTTTCACTTGATTAGGTTGCGATATAACCTCATCTATAATACCTAATAATTCCTTCATTTTTAATTTGCTGTAGTAAGATGTCAAATTTATACTATATTATTTATTATATTATTATATATTAATTCATATATAAATGTATAAATTTAGTTAAAATATTTGTTTCATTCATGCATAAATATAAAACTTATTTTAAATAACTGCATTCAAGCACATGTTTGAATTTACAATACACACTATATAGGTTTTGCGGGATACCTTGAGATAGCGCCATCTGGTATTATTAACGCAACTTAAAGTATCATTTAAATTTTGTATCATTTATTATAAAATTAAAATTAATAAGATAATTAATAAATATTTGATAAAAGTTATAAAACTAAATTTTTTTTCTCATTAATCTGATGATATATATATATGGTAATAATTAGAATAACATATAGTATATCAAAATTTGTGCATCAAATAATCTGTAGCGGTACGACAGAAGGTCGGCTTCGCTGGTTGGTTGCGCCATTGTTTTTATTTTTTTTTTTATTTTTTCTATTTTAGTTTTTGTATTATTATTTTATTTTTTACGCGGACGTTCCGGGTTTCGGCACCAATTTACTGTAGAGGGTTTCTCTATAATAAAGGTAATATTAGACTGAATTTTATTTTATTATTTTTATTTAAAGGATGCGACTTGCTTTTCTTCGTTGTACACTTCTCAACGGCTACGCACAGACTGTTCTAGTCTAGTGACTACTACTTGTTAGCGTGGTTCCCTAGCCTTCTAGTAACCTTAGAGGGCGCGACCTTCTGTCGTACCGCTACAAATCTTGGTACAAGGCTGCCCCCTGGGCCAGGCTTAACAAGAACGGATCCCATTTGTATATGTTATATATATATCTATGTATAGATATGTGAAATTCTATACTTCAGCAACAAAATCTACGTAAACAAATATTATTGTTTGTTATGCCATCGTTTCAATGATATTCAAATAATATAATTAAAAAGGGCTGATCTTCTAATACATTTATTCTAAAGCACTTGATTATTGTTATAACAATATTTATTACATCTTGTAATGGTAATTATGTTTGTAGGTTAATTTAATACTCTATTGTACAATAAGTAAATATGCATAGTATATGCAAATTTTTTTCTTAGAGTTAAGTATAAATTAATAGAATAAGTAAAATAGGTAATATTATATTTAATGATATATTCTCTAGGCATCAAATGATGGAATTCCACCTCCTGCTGCGGTACCTGGATTTCCACCAGCAGCACCTAATATGACGCCTGGTTTCGTACCACCAATTATGCCTGCAGCATCATTTATTGCATCTCCTAGTTTACCACCTGGTCCACCAGGTATAATGCCACCGCAGTTTTCTATTCCACCACCTGGTTTTAGTTTTCCAATAACTGCTGCTCCTGCACCAGAAGCCGGAGTAATAGGTTAGTAAGTTGTATCAAAGATTTCATTGATAAGCATATTAATTTAATCTTTGTCTTTTCTTTTATGGAATTTTATAGCAGCACCACCACAAATAACAGCGCCAGGACTTCCTCCTCCAACTCCATTAGCTAGTGATACCCCATCGGGTATACCTGTGTCTTCAGAGAAAAAATCAGATTGGACCGAACATAAAGCTCCAGATGGTCGTACTTATTATTATAATAGTATTACTAAACAATCTTTATGGGAAAAGCCAGATGAATTGAAAACCCCGAGCGAATTAATGTTATCGCAATGTCCATGGAAAGAGTATAAATCAGAAAATGGAAAAATATATTATCATAACGTAACTACTAAAGAATCTAGATGGACTGCTCCTCCAGAATTAGAAGAATTAAAAAATAGAATTGCTGCTGAAGAGGCTGCAGCTGTTGCAGCTGCGGTAGTTGCTAGTGCTACAAATACGTTAGTAACATGTTAAATTAATGTTCAATTATTTTAAATATACTCCTATATTTATTTTATATATATTATTTTGTACAGAATAGTTCCAGTAGCTATACAACATTTGTCTCCAAATATTAGTACTTTATCGCAAACAAGCACTCCTGAACCTGGAGGAAAATCTGCAATCGAACAAGCTATGGCTGCAACACTCGCAGCAATAAATATTCCAACACCACCTACAAAACCAGATGAAGATAGTAATTCTGCGAAAGGATCAGCAAATGATAGTCGGACTAGTACTCCTGAACCCAAAATGATGTTCAAAGATAAAAAAGAAGCAATAGAAGCATTTAAAGAATTATTGAAGGAAAGAGATGTGCCATCTAATGCTACATGGGAGCAAGCAGTAAAACTTATTCAAAATGATCCAAGATATCCACAAATGAAAAAATTAAACGAACGTAAACAAGCATTTAATGCATATAAAACGCAGAAGCTCAAAGAGGAACGGGAACAAGAAAGATTAAGGTAAGTAAATATTAATCTACATTTCTGACCAACAAAGTTTTGGATACTCACGTATGTAAAAGCTGTAAATTCCATTTTTGAACATTCTTTTATTTTAAGTAGTGATGTCTCAATAAATTGTTTAACCATTTGACCTATTATGACGTATACCATACGTCGTGATGTTTCTGTCCCAAAACTGAAAGCGACGTATACCGTATGTCGAGGCGCTTCCATCCCAAAACTGAAAGCGACGTATATTATACGTTCTACCAACACGCTGAGGCGCTGCTTGAGGGGTAACACCACTCTAAAATTTTCACAAAGCCAATTTTTTTTTTAGTTTAAAGTGTACTTTAGATGTCTAAAAACAATATGCACTTGGTCTCAAAGCGAAAACAAATTTTAAACATGTCAAAATCTTGGTTTTACCGAAGCACTTCGAAGCGAAGCGAAGTGTGAGAATGGGACAGTGTAGCACTGGTTGAAGCGTAGTGCTAGGCACTGCCATCGTTAAGTTAGCGTGAAGGTCAAATGGTTAACTCTACTGAAGTGTGTACCTAAATTTGTAGTCGATAATGTATATTTGATTTTGAAATCTTTGCATTTATGGATTATCAAGAGTTATTGGTTTTTCACAGATTAAAAAGGGCTAAAGAAGATTTAGAACAGTTTTTGTTGGAAAATGAAAGAATGACAAGTACTACGAAGTATTATAAATGCGAAGAAATGTTTGGCAATTTAGAACTGTGGAGAGCAGTGGGAGATCCGGATAGAAGAGACATTTACGAGGATGTTATATTTAATTTGGCAAAACGTGAAAAGGAAGAAGCTAAACAATTAAAAAAACGAAATACCAAAAGGCTTTCCCATGTTTTAGACTCAATGACAGATGTAACGTATAGAACTACGTGGCAAGAAGCACAAGCATTGCTCTTGCAACATGCAGCCTTTGCGGAAGATGCAGATTTACTTGAAATGGACAAAGAAGATGCTTTGTTAGTATTTGAAAATCATATTCGACATTTGGAAAAGGATGAAGAAGAAGAAAAAGAGCGAGAGAAAAAGAGAAGAAAAAGACAAGAAAGAAAAAATCGTGATGGTTTTATTGTAAATATTTCTTTTTCTAGTTTATACTTAATTTATTTTTTTTAATTTAAAGTATTCTTTGTGTGTAACCTTATATCATATATATTATATTTTAGAGTTTATTGGACGAACTTCATGAACAAGGAAAATTAACATCTATGTCTCTTTGGGTAGAGCTTTACCCAATGTTATCCGCAGATTTACGTTTTTCGGTTATGTTAGGACAGCCAGGATCAACTCCTCTTGATTTATTCAAATTTTATGTCGAAGATTTAAAGTCTAGGTTTCACGATGAAAAGAAAATTATTCGTGAAATTCTTAAAGATAAAAATTTTGAGGTACAAGTCAGTACAACTTTCGAAGAATTTGCAACGGTTGTTTGTGAAGATCGAAAGTCTGCCACTTTGGACGCAGGAAACGTTAAATTGACGTACAATTTGCTTCTCGAAAAAGCCGAGGCACGGGAGAAGGAACGAGTTAAAGAGGAAACGCGTAAATTCAAGAAATTAGAGACGAGTTTTAAAAATTTATTGAAAACCATTAGCGTAGATTATCAGATGACGTGGGAAGATGTGAGAAATAAATTGGAAGAGGAGCCTGATTTTAAAGCGATAACATTAGAAAGTGAGAGAATACGTATTTTTAAGGATTATCAACACGAGCTTGAAGAAAGTTGTAGTCATCATCATATAAGAAGTAAAAAGAAAAAAACCAAAAAGAAGAACCGAAAATCCCGATCTCGATCGCATAGTGTATGTAAAGTCTTTTTTTATTCACTTTTTTTTTCTTAGACGTACGTACATTTCATCCTTGCAAACTATTAATATATACAATTAATTAAATAGGAGTCTGAATGCAGTGATAAAGGATTTAAAAAGAAACAACGCAAATCGCGTTCCGCAAGTATAGCCAGCAAATCAGAAAGTTCCGAATCCGATACGAGAAAGACGAAAAAAAAGAAGAGTAAAAAGAAGAGAGGTCGAAGTCATTCCGTAAGTTACGTTTAATTAATACGGTGATGAAAGGATACGTGTGTTATAGTATATAGTAGATGATTTAAAAATGTCCTCGCTACGGGGACACCGATCGCAAAAGGGTTAATTCTTTAATTTTTTATTAAGTTTCTTATATATGTATGTGTTGATTTATAGCGTTCTCACTCAAGATTACCGTCTTCCGAAGAATCTCCGGAGAGAAGGCGGAAAGAGGAAAAACACAGAAGACCATCTGTTCATAGCGAAGAATCCATTAACGAAAATACGGAACATCATGAACTTTCCGAAGACGAATTAGAAAAACAAAGAGCGCAACTTCTTCGAGAATTGCAAATGCAACAAGAAGACAATTAATTCATATAAGGAGATAAATAAAATAAAGGTTTTGTTTATAATTATCTATTAGATTTATGATATTTCCGTCAAATTTACTTTCTATGCATATATTATTAATTTCTAATAAATAGAAATTCTTTCACAAGAATATATTGATACACATATGCATACATATACAGGGTGGACCATATAAAGAAGAAGACGCAAATACTTTTTTGTTTATAATTATATCCAACAATTTCAAAGGAAAAAGTTGCATTATAACCTTGAAGTCTATTTAAAATTGACCTTGAAAGAAAATTCTTTCAACCATTAGATTTCCCTTTGCAATAGTATTACGTTTTTCTATGAAATTTTTTAATACCATTGTAAATAAAGAAGCTATTCAAAGTGGTCAGAGTTATTATCCCACCTTGTATATATATAAGGAAATATATTTAATTCATTGACTAATCTATTGAATTTCGCATAGCAACCCTTAACAGTATTAATCAAATGTAAGTATATATGTACTTACATTACTATGTATTGTATATATATATATATAATAGATAAGTGTAGATAGAATACTGATAAGGAATGCCCCTATTCGTTTGCTTTTATTGTTTCACTTTGTTATATTTTTGCATGCCATTAGGCGCAATTTTCTTTTCTACATGGGTAACCAAAGTTGTATATTTATGGGATATACGAATAGTGCGGTAGTGCTGAGTCTCACAGAACATTAAACATTAAATAAAGAAAATCAATTAATGTTTTTATTTTTAATTATCATATAAGTTAATATACGTAAATTTATTTTTTATATTGAATGTAATTAATGAAACAAATAACAAGATATTACTTCGTTAAAAATTTGCATAAATTTGTGTATAATTTAATAATAAAAAATCATTTAAATTAGAAATATAAAGTAAATTTGAATAGAATTGATATATAGAAACGTATAACCTTCGATTCTATTTATGTCAATATCGATATTATTTTAGTTCAACATCATGTAAATTTATTCCGATCTAACATTCTTTTAATAGTGGATAATAAGTATGTGTATGAATATACATGTACGTATTGTAAGTGAATAGAAAAAACAAATATATGTAAACTCGAGTGATACGATTGTTGTTTTTTGTATCATTAAATCATCAAAATTGAACGATCATTTAATTAAAAATTTAACAAATTTTTACGTTCAAAAGGCGATTTTCGGTCACCATTAATTGAATTTGAGAAAAATTTTATTGATAAGGATTTAGGAAATTTTTGAATAAAAGTTGTTTATTCTATTCTATTTATTTATTTATTTTCTTTTTTTTTTTGTAAAAACAATTAAGTAATTTAAGTGTGTTCAAACTTAAATTATTGAATTGTTCTCGTTAGATAATAAATTTAAATATCTAATAAAAATTATTTATTTTTTAGAGATTACTTAAGTATTTGTGTGTTCAACCCTAAGTTATCGAATTGTCTTGTTAGATAATAGATTTATATATTCGTTCTTTCTAAAATCGACGCATGCGTCGAGTGTATTGTAATTCGGTAGTACCTTTGCTACGGCCCTGGTTATATGGTCCGAATTTAAAAGAAGTGGGGGTATGCGAAGGTGGTTGGGTTTACTATTTGTCCGATGACTGCCGTTGTCGCCTTTTGTGGTTCCGAAGGTACAGTGTGTTAACAAACAAAAAGGACAAAAGAAAGAAAAATATAAAGAAGGAAAGAAAGGGACAGGTAAATGAATTTGGTCATTCGATTTGAAAACGTGAGTAAGAAAAGTTTGTTAAACGAAGGAAGAAGATAGAGACGCAAAGAGAGAAAGGAAAAGAGAAGGATAGTAGAAAAAAGAGAGAGGAGAAAAGAACGTGAGCGAGAGTGAGAGGGGGCGTTGGAGTAAAATAAAAGGGAGGAGGACCAAAGAGTTTAGAGAAGAGAGCACGATGTTGAATATCTGTCGTCAAGCTTTTATAGCAAATAGCCAAAAGTGAGTAGAACTATGCGGAAGATATTTTATTGTCCTTGAATAATCCTATCGTTCATGATATCTTTTATTATTTCTGACATCAAGCCGAATACTAGGGAATATATTGATTATTTTCAAGCATTGGTCCGTGTGCTCTATGTATTTCACATTCATACCTGTATATGTATTTGTATATGTACCTTTATATGATACCGTATATGTGACGTGTATGTGTATGCTATGTACTCATCATCTTTTATGTTAATCTCATACCACGACAAGAATAATTATATCTGTTATGTGTGTTTCGTTATATTCGTGTGAAGGTTTTAAAAAACAACAACGCACTTATGCATTTGTTCATTTACACGATCCTTCTAAACTTTATTACGTTATTGCTGCTAAATGTTGTTTATCTATTTTTAATTAACTTACTTGTTAATATAAATAATTCATCTACACTATTACACGAATACGAAAATCAAACGTTCGACGAAAACGGCCGAATATTCGAATTAAGTTCGTTGACCAATTAGCTCTTACGTGCTGTATTTCATAATTTCAATAGGATTTGTTCTTGTACGTAAATGTGTATGCTTGTGTTATTTATAGCTAAAGAGATATGTACTGTAATTTCAAATGTCGAATTGAGTCATCAACAACAATTGCGTTCCCTTTTTCTTTTACAATACTCTTTTTTCCTTTAACCTTTCTCAATATCTGCCATTAACTGTCAACGTGGTTCCTTTTCATTCAAATCAATTTGTCAATGATCTTTTAATTCTTCTTCGCAATTTACTCTTCCCCTTGAACGTTGTTAATTATTTCTTATCTTTCGGGAGTGATAAATATATTTAAAATTATTTTTAAATGTTTAACGATTATTTTTACACCTGCAATAATAATGAAATAGTGCGTTGAAAGCGATAGTGATTTTTTGTATCCTTGAAAAACGTTCCCGTTTACATGACGACTACGCGACTTTCTTTTTAACATCTGTTACCAAGGATAATTCATTTCTAGCTTATCTTCAATTAGTTTGATGTTAGCTCATTTGTGGTTACGTTTTATTTAAATTCCCCTTTCGTTTTCCTCCATAAAACATTATATTTTTTTCATCTTATGCCTCAATGCTATACCTGACGTCACGCATATGTATATACGGCGTCTCGAAGTTTCGCATCACTTCATCCTATTTATTTTAATTTTATTTATTTGTTTATTATAAGAAATCTTTTTGACGTCATAAACGTCACGACAAATATATAACATCAATTCATTTATTTATTTATAATCAAAATAAATTCTACGCTTGCATTTTATTGCTATTGGCCTTCTCTAAATTTGACATACTCCTACGTAAGACCTTCCATTGATGTGCTTTTTTTTCAATTTTGTTTTATTAATCAATTAATTAATTAACATTATCTATATCATTTCTTAATAAGTAAATGTTATCGTAATTAATATTCTTATTAATGATTTTTGTGTTTCATAATTAATTTGAATTTTTTGAGCGATAATCTCAACGAGAAGGGTCACTGAGTATATAGCGTTATGTAACGGCCTATGATCATAGCGTTTGACACATAAAGTTAGCAAAGTATAGCAAGTATAAATAACATTATCCTGTTCCGTCGAACATTTATATATATATGTAATATTTTATTGTTGTTTTTAAACTTATTGCATTTTTAGAAATGATTCATTTTTATTTATTAATTAATTTATTTATTTATTCATTTATTCTTGATATACTTCTAATTTCAATTTTGTTTATAATTGCACACAGTGGCTTGAAATTTGAATTGGATTAATTTGTTTACATAGAATTAATCTTGTTGAGTGATAACACTGTGAACAGAGTATACTAAGTTATGTGTCTGTACACAGATAAATATTAGAAAAGATTATCATCATGCTTTATAGTCGAAATAATATTTACTTTTACCTCTTATTTTCTTATCTCCCTTAAGAATATACTTGTTGTTATTTTTTCTACTTTTCTTATTCAAATTTTTTTATTCATTTATTATTATTATTATTTGCAGAGTAGGTACAAGATGCCTAGGATCTATAGTGCCTGTACCAAATCCTCCAGAATTTCCACTGGAGAACGAACCTGTTCTTGGATATCAGAAAGGGAGCAAGGAAAGGGCAGAATTAGAGAAGGTCCTGGATGAAATGGCAAGCGAATGTACTGAAGTACCTTTGGTCATTGGAAATGAAGAAATCAAGACAGATTTATGCAAATATCAAGTCATGGTACATATTATTATTAAATATATTATGGGTTTATTTTAATAAGAAGAAATTTCTTATATTACATTACTTCTTAGCCACATAATCATCAAGCCAAAGTTGCTAAATATTATTGGGCTACGCCAGGCTTAATACAAAAAGCTATCGATGTTGCTGTTAAAGCTCAAAGAGAGTGGGAGAAGTGTCCTATTGAAAAACGATTAGAAATATGGTTAAAAGCTGCTAACCTCATGTCGAAGAAATATAGACAACACTTAAATGCTGCCACTATGCTTGGTCAGAGTAAATCTGTTATTCAAGCAGAAATTGACAGCGCAGCTGAATTAATAGATTTCTTTAAAATACAAGGATACTTTGTCAAGGACGCCTTAAAATATAAACCAATTTCACCTACTAAAAATGAATTGAATTCTATGAGGTATCGTGGAATGGATGGTTTTGTTGCCGCTGTGTCACCTTTCAATTTTACTGCTATTGGTGGTAATCTTAGTTATACTCCAGCTTTAATGGTTTGTATCTCATTAATCTTTCTTGATCGATATCATCCGAAAACAAATGTGCAAGAGTAAATTTAATTTATTTTTTACTTTAATTTTATTTAGGGCAATGCAGTTCTATGGAAACCATCAGATACCGCGTTACTTTCCAATTGGTGGATCTTTAAAATATGCAGAGAAGCTGGAGTACCGCCAGGAGTTGTTAACTTTGTTCCTTGCGAAGGTCCAGTTTTTGGAGATACGATAACTGCCTCTCCTTACTTGTCTGGTATCAATTTTACCGGATCGGTACCGACGTTTAATCGTTTATGGATGCAAGTTGGTAAAAATTTGGGAAAATATAAGAATTATCCTAAATTGATTGGTGAATGTGGCGGTAAGAATTATCACTTCGTTCACCCAAGTGCTGACGTACAAACAGTTGTTATCGGGACAATAAAAAGTTCTTTCGAATTTAATGGTCAGAAATGTTCAGCCTGTAGTAGAATGTATGTTCCTGAATCTTTGTGGAGCAAGGTATGACATTAAAAATTATTTATTTACTTATTAATCATATGTTATAAATTCTACGCTTATTCTTATATTGAAAAACAAAATTTCATTTTAGATAAAGGAGGGCCTTTTAGAGACACGTGACAAACTTAAAATAGGTGACGTTAGAGATTTCACTATTTTTACTGGAGCTGTTATCGATGCTACGGCGTTTAAAAGAATTTCTGGTTACATAAATCATGCCAAAAAATCATCGAATTTAAAAATAATCGGAGGAGGTCAATGCGATGATTCGTAAGTTTCATATAAATATTATTTTTAATTATTAAATAAATACTAGATATTTTTTATTTAAAAAACATGCAATATTTTTTCTAAAGTGTTGGCTACTTCATCCAACCAACGATAGTAACAACAACGGATCCAAATGATAAAATCATGACGGAAGAAATATTTGGACCTGTGTTAACCATTTACGTTTACAAGGATTCCAAAATCGATGAAACTATGAAATTGGTTGAAACTTCCACGCCGTATGCATTAACAGGATCGATATTTTCCCAAGACGAGTAAGCTTTATACCACAATTTTTAAATCTTACATCGTACAAGATAAGGCGATAGTAAAACATAATCTTTTATTTAATTTTAAACAGACAATGGGCGAGAAAGGCGTTAGAAGAATTGAAATACACGGCAGGTAATTTTTATGTAAATGATAAGTCAACTGGGTCGGTGGTTGGTCAACAACCTTTTGGTGGTAGCAGAATGTCCGGTACGAATGACAAAGCCGGTGGTCCTCATTATGCTCTTCGTTGGGCGTCACCACAGTCAATTAAAGAAATCTTTGTTCCTTTGAAAGAATTTGATTATCCGTATATGAGGTCGTAAAGACGTGCTCAAGTATTGTCTAAATGTCGATTTAAATCATATAATAATATAAAAATATAGATGTGAGGAGTAATGGTGCGTAGTTTATTGTCGCTGAGCGATTACGCACTTCTCCTCAACAAAATTCAGATGTGAATGCCGAATGTCTATAGTTGTAAAGAAAAGAGAACAAAGAAAAAAAAAATAAGAAAAGAGGAAAAAAAATTACCAAAAACAAAATATATGATAAATAATGGAAGGAGATATTTGTCTCATGCATTTCTTAATGTGGATAAGTTTAAATATATGAATATGAAAATAAATATATCGCGCTAGTTAGAACCTCGCGAGGTACCCCTCGATTTGTTTTCGGCGTTCATATTTAAAGATCGGTTATTCTAAAGGCTGTAAATGTAAATAACAAAGTATGATTCTTAGAGAGCGAAAGAGAGAGAGAGAAAGAGAGAGAGAGATCGAGAGAGAGAGAGAGAGAGAGATCGAGAGAGAGAGAGAGAGAGAGAGATCAATATGTGTATGTAGTCAATGCCTATATAGAGTTATATTTGTAATAATATGTTTACAGACTTTGATAGTATATATGTATACGTGTATGTATATATTACATTGTCGTTTTTATGTTTTGAAAATTATGAGAAATGAAATTATCTTACTTTCAAAATTATTTTACGCAGATATTGAAATATATCGGTTTAATGTGTTGTTTTCGTATAAACAAGATAGAAAGAAAGAGAGGAAAAAAAAGAAATAAATAAAAAAATTAGACTCTGATAAATGCTGATGACAAAGAGTATATAATATAAATGTGATTTATATATTATTGCATGTAATTTAGAGCTTTCTTACTGATACATCAACGCCTCAGGAAATTATCACAAAGTGATTGAAAATGTTTAAGGTAGCCTTATTTTCAAAGTTAATTGTAGTACAGGACTTGATTTGTGGGTCAAGAAAAAAGCGTTATTAAACGACAAAGGGTTTATAACATCCGAAAAGGGGAAATACAGAAATATTGCTTTTCGTAATGGATTCCAGATTGCTAAAATTAATTAATATAATTATTAGATTATTATTTTCTTTGTTTTTGTTTCTTTTAATTTTATTTTCTATTAAACAAGATTATTATACAATTTAAATTGAAATTATTAGCATTGTTAAAATTATCTGATGACGGTAATTTGCTAATCACATTGATTTGAATGTTAGTGTTAGTATATATCACTAATAGTTATTAATTATATCATTAAAATACAATGTTCAATACAATATAATGTTTCTTATATGATTGGCGCCTTTTGTGATATATTATTATTATTATTATTATAATTAACATTATTATTAATATTATTATTAGAAAAAATAATAGATTTATGTAAAACAATAATTCCCTGTAAAAGTGTCCTACACCGCGGAAGAAATTTCTGTAATTAGTTATACAATCGCTGCTTGTTTTTGAATGTGATTTGAAATAGAGATAATGGTCCCACGAGTCAAACAATGATCAATAATAATAAATAAAACAACTGAAGATATATGCTAGGTACTTTGACCGATGTTACGATGTAATTTATTTGAATTGTACAATAGCAATAAAATGAAATGCTATTAACAAGACTTTTGTATATACATTTGATTTTAAATGTGTGAATGTTTTCAATGTTTTCATAATAATAATAATAAGAATAAGAATAATGTGTCTTGATAATTAGTTAAAAGATTTTATAAATAATTCTTGAAAATGTATAAGTCAATTTAAAATGATAGATATTCGCGCCAATTGAGTATTTCGATTCGAGTATACGTTGATTGGTCGAAATGCGCGTCACTCAAAATTAACCAATCTCTGTTGCGTTTAAGAAATTCTCCTTTTCTCATTGGAGGATGAATATTCATTGAAAAATTTATGAAAATTGGTACATAATTAGAATTTATATTTCGAACTTATATTTCTGCCACTTTTCTTTATATACTTCTTTTTGATTTTTTCATGATTTTATTTAGAAATTGATGATGCTCATTTAAATACAACGTTAATAAAATTATTCTTAACATTTTTTGAAATTTTCACCATATACAGATATTTATATTGTAATTGCGTAATCATTTTTTATAGATCATCGTTTTGAGAAGAATATTCGAAATAGCAAATTGAAAATAAAAATAGTTTCCACGGGTTATTTATCAAAAGAATTAATAGTATCATGGTTAGATATTCTAAACAAATATGCACGATAATATTTCAATGGTGGTAAATTCAAATTATTTACTTTTTTTTCTCGTATTCGAAGGATTATTTTCTATTTAAATATTTCAAAAAATTTTCATAAAATGCATCTATAATAAACAAACGACCAAAACAACGATATTAAAATCTTAATTATAATATTGTACATCAATCAAATTAATTTAAATTTAAAAATATTGTTCAAAAGAAAATAATTCTATCGAGATGACTAACAAAGGACGTGCAAATAAAATGAACACAATTTTAAGTAACGATATACGTACTTACAAGGTTTTACCCATAATAAGAGTAGTTCGATCAATATGATAGAGATAGTGCGATAAATTAAAAACGTATTCAATCATGCTCGCGGGCTTTGGCTTGTCCAAACCTGATTAAAAAAATCGGCTCCGATCGATCGACTTAACTTTTTCTTTCGTTCGAATCTTCTGTGAAGAGAAAAAAACTTGGTTGGTTAAAGTGGTGTCGATTCGAGGATGAAGGAGGAAGTTAGGTTTGGGGGGGGGAGGTAGTGTAAGAGGGTTGATAGAGGGGGAGGTAGTAGTAGTAGTAGTAGTTGAAGAAGGCGTCAACGATAAAAGAAAAATAAGAAGACGAAGGAAAAGGATAGAAAGAAGAAGGAAAGAAGAAGAGGGTGAATAGATGAGGACGAGGAGGAGGAGGATGAGGATGAGGGGTTGTTAGGGGTAGGTGGAGAGAAGGATTGAAAGGCTTAGGGGAAGTCGCCGTTAATGGCTCGACCAGAGGATTTCCTGGCCTTCTTCCAGCTTTTTTACGAGTTTTTCGAGCGTTCAGTTCTGAAACGTTCACTCAAATCAAGATACTCACCTTTTCACGAATAGATGCTGTGGCTGAACTAACATCGTAGCCCCCGCCTCCTCCTCCTCCTCCTCCTCATCGTCCTCCTCTTGTTCCTCTTTCTACCCTCAAGCCTGTAGCCTCCTTGCTGCCAGTAACTTTAAGCGACGCTTTTTTTTTCTTCCTTCATCCATCTTTCGTTACTCTCTCGTGGAGCCCTTTACTTGGGGCTACGTTTATCCTTTGTCTCTTTCTCTCTTTTTCTTTCTTTCTTTTTCTCTTCTTCTTTCTTTCTTTCTTTCTTTTCTTGACTTTTTCTAAACACTACTACCGCAGGTGGCACTATACTCAAGTGAAGGAGAGTGAATGAGCGAGAGAGAAGGTGGACTGACCAGATGTCTCCGTTTTTATCGGTCCACTATCACGAGAAATTTCTTCAGGAAGCTATCGAAAATAGAGTATATGAGAGAGTGAGAGAGAGAGAGAGAGAGAGAGAGAGAGAGAGAGAGAGAAAGGAAGAATGATTTTCCTTCTCGAACGTAGAAGTGGTAAGCTCTTTTGTGTGAAAGAAAGTAATACCGATGATGGGATAGTGTTGAAGTAAATCGTTCTCTACTACCAATCGTATCGATGAGAAAGAGAGAGAGAGAAAGTGAGAGAGTGAGAGAGTGAGAGAGTGAGAGAGAAAATTCATGCCCGTTCGTGGTATATTCTATAGAGCCAATCTAGATCGCTTTCATTATCTGCCTAATTTCTAAAGTTCGTAGTGCGAATATCAGCAAGGTGAGGTGAGGTGAAGGGTAAATTGGTAAAAGAGGGATAGAAACGAACGGAAGGGGAACGAACGGTGGTAGAGAAGTAGATAGGGTTGATGTAATGGGAGGATGTAAAACAATATGAGCTTATTTACTCAAACGTATGGGGGTTTCTATAAATATATGCATATGTACCGTTTGCTTTTTAGTACATATTGGCTGAATCATATATTGTTACTTGAAAATCAATCAAAACATTAATATTTACATCGATCATTAGTTCATTACAATGCACTTTTTTTTTTAGAAAGAGTGAGAGAGAGAATTTCTCGATCTTTTTATACAATTTGAAAATATATCAGGATAAGAGAATTTATACCTGATAATACTGTATATTAATATCTATTTAAACATATATGTACGTGTAAATTATAATAATAATATTAGTAATTATAATAATAAATACATATGTATATATGTATTATTATTATTATTATTATTATTATTATATATATATATTTATGTGTTAATGCATAGGCAGAGAGTTTCATCTAAATCCCATCTAATCGATATTTCATATCTCTCGTTATTTACATATCAAGAGAATTATATATATAGGTCATCATTCGTCGAGTTCTGCTCGCGCTCCTGAATAGTAGCTGGTAATGGATAAGCGGGAGGTCCCGCAGGATACCTTTGTAGGAATTGCGTCTATTTATTGATCGGCACGTGCATTGGAATATTCAGCCTCGCTTTGCCTTCCGCCAACCGATATTCCACAGGCCTTCTCTTCTTCCCATAGGGCCTTCCTTCCTCCTCGTTCTACACTTCATCCTTCCTTATTCACTCTCTCTTCCCTTTTCTTCTCGTCGTTCGAATCATCTTCCTTCATTTTAACAGAACGACGATTCTCCTCCTACCAAATCTGAATTCGCGTCCATTATTAATCGTCTCAGTGACTTTCGACTCTTTCACGAGTATCAGCAATTTCAAATACATCTTTTGATATAATTTATGATCAAGATTTGTTCTAACACCATGCACGTATTTATTTTAATGTTGATCATGTTCTTATTACTTTTAGGGGTTTATATTTTTTATTAATGCATTGAAAGTTGTAAAAGCAAGTACTTCGTTTTTGATAATTTGTTAGAGTTATTGGATTATTTTTATATTAGTTATAATCAACATATTATTGAGTATTTATTAATTATAATTATTAGAATTGTTATGTTAGAAATAAAATATTAGATTTGAATGAAAATTTAAAATGTTTGATGTTAATTGTTTTTTAAATTAAAAAAATATTGAGAACGTGTTAATAACGATTGATATAATGTTAGTGAAAGTAGAATAATAAAAAGTTTGTACAATGTAGGCAAACCGTAAAGACGTTTCACAGTCTTTCGAGTAGGAAAACGATGTAAACGAGATCAGGGTGTAGGAAGAGTTCTCTACTCACTTTTCGTCCAAGACAGAAAGTTACGGCATTGTGATCAAGAATGTATCGCGCGTACTAGAAACGAGCTTTTCTAGGAGCAATTCTCTTCTGTAAGCTTCAGGTCTCGTAGACGCGTCAACACGACGGCCTACATTTGAAAGGAAATGTGTTTTACTTCCTTCCAACTTAAAT